ATGAGTTGAACCCTGGTGGAGGTGGCGGCTGAGACGAGCTGCCCAGCAGAGCAGCTGTGTGTCCAGCAGAGAGGCCGGAGCCACAGACAGCAGCCAGTTGAACATAAGAGCTTGTTCAAATAAACATTTAAATTTGTGACTGTGACAACATGCGCTCCTAAACTGTGACGGTCTGGTCTGTGAAGCTGTTATATCCCAACACAGGGTCGTGCTCCTACAAAGGTTAAAATCCACTGTATTACAGTGTGTTGTGTAGCAGACTGCAGACATTCAGTCAGTTACATGTTATTCATTAGAAATGGTGGCAGTGCTGTTTATCACAGGAAGGTTTCAGGTAAATTGCACAGCTTCCTGGTTCACAGGATATTTTATTTAATCACTATCAGAAAGTAAATCTCATGAAATTAAACATGAGACTGAGATTGCATAGGGATCTAAGTCACGCTCATGAAATGATTAATCATCCAGCCCTAGTAGGTTCCTATGGTGGAAAAAGCCTATATGCTCAGAAAAGCAGGTATCTTGCCATCACCATCTTTTTATCAGTTCCTGTCCTCAGCTTGATGTTGCAGACATGTATTACCTTGTTGTTGGCCTGAGTGTGCTACAGAGAGGATTGATGCATCATTTCAGTTACATGTAATCGTATCAATACATTTTTCTTTGTATGTAATTGTGCTTTTATTATTTTTCAGAAACCATCAAAAGGTGCCAAGCTGAACTGAAATCTTACCTCCAAAATAAAACAAAGGATCTGTTTCAAGGAATAAGTGAAAGTGAATCATCAGCTCCTTTGAGCAAGAGCTATACGGAGCTTTACATCACACAGCGAGGCAGTGGGGAGGTTAACAGTGAACATGAAGTGGTTGAACTAGAATGTAAAAAGAGGATGAGTGAGGAGAAGAAAATCAACCTCAGTCACATTTTTCAACCTTTATCAAACAAAGAGACTCCTCCCCGGATGGTCCTGACGAAGGGAATCGCTGGTATTGGAAAAACTGTTGCTGTTCATCACTCGTGACAGGGGAGCAGGAGAAGCGACCGACACTGTTCAGTTCATATTTCCCTTCACTTTCAGAGACTTGAATCTGATAAAGGAACCACGTTTGAGTCTTATGGCGTTAATAGCTGATTACTTCGAAGAAGTGAAGGATTTGGAAACATCAGACTACAAAAATTCAAGTGTTCTGTTCATCTTCGACGGCCTGGACGAGAGCAAACTCCCTCTGGACTTTGAGAACAATGAGACATGCCGCAGTGCTACAAAGCCTACAACAGTAGATGCCCTGCTAACCAACTTGATCAAAGGGGAGCTGCTGCACAAAGCCTCAGTCTGGATCACAACTAGACCGGCCGCAGCCAGTAAGATTCCACCCAGGTTCATCCACAGACTGACCGAGGTACGAGGCTTTAATGATCAGCAGAAGGAGCAGTACTTTCAAAAGAACATCAGGGTCGAGGGCATGTCCCAGAAGGTCATAAGTCATCTACAGCGTAGAGAGCTGGGAAGTCTGTACATCATGTGCCACATCCCGGTGTTCTGTTGTATTTCAGCTGCAGTTCTGCAGAATCTCCTCACTGACACTCAGGACAACGAGCTGCCCAAGACGGTGACCGAAATGTACACACACTTTCTGATCATCCAGACAAAACGGAAGCATGAGAAGCATTATCAGAAAGGTGAAACAGACAAAGACGTCATCATGAAAATGGGAAAGCTGGCGTTTGAGCAGCTGAAGGAGGGAAACATCATTTTCTCTGAAAAAGATCTACAAGCTTGTAACACGGATCCTAAAGAGGCGTCCGTTTATTCAGGACTTTGTACACAGATCATAAGAAAAGAACATGGCCTGTACAGACAGGACAGATACTCCTTTATACATTTAAGTGTTCAGGAGTTCCTTGCAGCTCTGTTTGTATTAGAGACATTAAACAGCAGTGGTGAAAATCTGCTTCAGACGAGGGTGAAACGTCGATCAGAGAGAGGAGAAAATCCTGTCACCCTCCTCCACAAGAGTGCAGTGGACATGGCCTTGGACACCAAGCACGGACGATGGGACTTGTTTCTGCGCTTCCTGCTTGGTCTGTCACAGGACAAGAATCAGGCACTTCTTGAGAAAATATTTGAAAACAAAGGAGCCCGTCTGCAGAGCAACCAGGAGACAATCAAGTATATTCACAATCTGATCAGGAAACGTTCCTACTCTGAGACAAGTATCAATCTGTTCCACTGTTTAAATGAGCTGGGTGACCAGTCGCTGGTAGAGGAAGTCCAAATGTACCAGAGATCCGGAGATGTCAACAAAATTTTACCTGCACATTGGTCGGCTCTGGCCTTCCTGCTGCTTGTTTCTGAGGAAAATCTGGATGTTTTTGACCTGAAGAAATTCTGCCGATCAGATGAAGCTCTGCAAAGGCTGGTGCCAGTGTTCAAAGCAGCAAAGACAGCTTTGTAAGTATTTGGTCTCAAGGAACCCGACTGCTGTGAAGCTCTCGGGTTGTTTAGGTGGAGAAGGACACAGTGATTCTAATACTGTCAGTGTGTTTTGTTTTTCACTTCAGGTTAAGTGACGGTGACCTCACTGACAAATGCTGCGAGTGTATTTCATCAGTTCTCAAGGTGGAGCCTTCCCGTCTAGAGGAATTAGACCTCAGCAGAAATGAACTGCAGGACTCTGGAATAGAGAAGCTCTCTGTCGGCCTGAAGAGTCCAAGCTGCAAAATCCAGAGACTCAGGTAATAAGACCGTTTTATCTCCAGGAACATCAGTTTAGCTGCTGGGTGGTGTGTTGAACACACACACACATGGGTGTGGATTTATAATACATGTAACTGTCTCTCATATAGAGATTCATTTAATCTCTGTGATCAGAACATGGAGAGGTCCTACACATGTTTAGCCTAGCTTAGCACAGAGACTGGAAGCAGAGGGAAACTGCAAGCCTAGATGCATCAAAAGTGAAAAAATCCACAACTATAACTGATTGCTTGATGTATTTTGTTAACTAAACAGATGCAGAAACAGAAATTTAAAGAGGAGACACTGGTTCTAGCAGCTGGTAGCATTGCAGCTCACAGTCGACCTGTCAGGTTTGGGCTCGTTTTGGAGGAGCTGACGCTTGTGACTCCTCATATTCAAACACTGATTAAAGCTCGCTAGTACCATATTCAGACCAGCACAGTTAACTGTCTGTCAGGAGAAGAAAAAGAATGACCAGCAATTAGGGATGGGACAACATATCGAAATTTGATATATCATGATACAAAAACATCACAATATGTATCGGTTTGTCTAACGACATTTACCATGTGGTCTTCCTACACCAGCTTCTCCATATTTTTTCTAAGTAGCCTAACAGAACCTAAGTCAGCATATCTGGTTGTCCTTTACACAGTCATACCAGGGCTAGAAAAGGGGGGAAAGAGGAATAAAGTACAAGTATTCTGCAGCTAGTCGTCTATTGTTGTCATCGAATTGTTAATTGTATTGTGATTGAATCAAATCGTGCACAACATATCGCGCACTGAATGGTATTGAGGGGAAAAAAAATTTACCTCATCCCGTCCATACCACGAATTATTTTTAACTTTAACTTTATTGTCATTGTACATTGTACAACGAAATTAAAAATGCAATCCTTCGATGATAAAAAATAATCATAAACAATAAAACCCAACAAATTTACACACTCGCATCCATACACATCTGACTATTGCACAGTTCCCGTAAAATCCCATCAATCATTCAAATTTTAAGGTTTTTAGCAGCATTTAAAGCAACAATAGCTCTCGGATAAAAACTGTTTCTTAATCTGTTTGTCCTTGCTATAATTGTTCTGTATCTTCTCCCCGAAGGCAGCAGTTCAAACAGACAGTGTTCAGGGTGTGATGGGTCCTGCAGAATGTTTTGTGCTTTTTTTCAAGCAACGGGAACTGTACAGTTCTTCCAGAGATGGTAGGGGGCAACCGATAATCTTCTGGGCTCTGGTAATAACCCTCTGGAGCGCTCTCCTGTCTGCAGCTGTGCAACTGGCGAACCAGGCACAGACACAGTATGTTAAAATGCTCTCTATTGAGCAGTGATAGAAGGACACCAGCAGTTTCTCATTCAGATTGTTTTTCTTCAAAAGACTGAGAAAATACAATCTCTGCTGGGCCTTCTTCACCAAAGCAGTGGTATTTGCGCCCCAACTCAGGTGCTGCTCAAAGGTAACACCCAAGAACCTAAAGACGGCCACCCTCTC